GTCAAAAAATGTTCTCGAACGGCTTCGAAAGGAAGAGGGATAAGAAATATAAGGAGTGGGTCGATGACTGAATCATCTGAAAATAGACAAATTGTACAGAAAGTTAAAGATGAAAAAATTCTAGAAAGAGGAATTCAATTAATAAAGGTAATTATATTTTTAAAAATCGATATAACTTATGATAACACTGTAAGAGGGAATAATTTGATTATCCTTTTTGCGATAATTGTATTAATTGTATTGAGATTTACGTGACATAAGTCCTTTAACAAAAATAAAATGACTTACTTATAATATGTTAAAGTTATTTTACTTACAAATGTGCATTTTTTTAAAAATCTTTTAGGGCGCAAGTATGATCAGAACTGCTGGTTCTTTAATGTAAGTACATATTTTTAATATTGAATTTACGAAATCCATTTTACAAATGATCAAGCTACATTAATATTTATAATTTTTCTTACTATTCATGATTTTGATTAATAGGACTTTGCTTTTCGTGCATTCCATAGTCATAATATTTATTCAAAACACATTATTTCACGTTCCAATAAATCGAGCATTCGACTTTGCACTTGTAAATTTATTACCGCGGTTAAATTCATCCACCTGTAATTTTTCACTACCCGAAATATCAATATGGAACTTTTCAATATTCAATTTTTTTAATTGGAATTTTTCATGGTTTAATATATCAACTTTAGATTCATTTATTAATAATTTACCGATATCTGATATTATATCTTGGAATACTTCAAAGATCAATGTAGAAGTTTTAAAATTAGGAGCAACTACCTTAGAATTTTCAATGGGTTGGACCGTGTATATAATATATGGATATTTTTTTTTAGGTTCAATTTTGACATGTTTTGTATGGATCTTTTTGAAATATATTGAATAATTATACGTTGTATATTTTTGCATAAATCACTGGGAAATGACGATGGAAAAATTAATAACTTTTGTGTAAACTTTAGTAATTATTTTAAAAAAATTTTTTTTTTTTTGA